CATCTTTTTTGAGAACTACTCACAAGTGAGTAGTTTCGCTCAACAGTAGTTACTGATTCAATGTGTTACATTCATGCCTGTTTAAATGATGTGCTTGAATTAGGAAATTAAATCACACCTTTTAAAGTGTCATGTTACCTGGCGATCCATACACACAAGCATCGGAAGATTATCATAGTGATGGATCTGGGAGTTTCAACTTGAGAATGAATCATGCGTTCATTTTTGGTTTACTGCCATGTTTCATATAACGAACTCACTTTGGTAAGTTGGTTCTTAAGACCCGCTGCTTACATCCAGCTGATCGTTTTATGCGCATTTGTGTTGTAGTATTTAGCTCTCCGGGTAAGTTTTATTCAGCCTTTGATTCTGCTCCATGGTCTGCATCAACGAAAAATCTCCTGCTCAAGATTAAAATACATCACAAAATCCTGTAACCTGGCTCGTTAATATCAAATATTGTCTGAAACTCTGGAGAACGTCCGCCCAAAACTGCTACCGAAAAAAGGTACCAAGACGATCGCATTGGGGCTGGGCATACCATTGGTGCTTTTGATTTTTCCCAGCATTCAAATCGAGATATTTCACAAATTCAGTAATTTCCGCTATTGTGGCAAACAACAAAGTTGTGATATGTAATCGATGTTCATGCTTTCCATCGAAAAGTAACATTCTCAAATATTTGATGGAATTCGACGGTATTGGTAAGTTGAATAAACCAAACCGTTGCATTACCATCTTATCAGTCTAAAGGGATCAATCTCTTTTGCACTTTCAAATGATTTGGTAAATATTTGTGAAGTTATGAGCGACTTGTAGTCTGAAAGGAGACCATAAATCTCCAGAAACCGAGTAATGTGTAACTATATCAAGCTCATTGCATTCGAAAGAGAGCTCATGCAAGATACCTTATTTATCAAATAATGCAAAACAATAGCAACTGTGATATCACATGGCCATATCTTCATTCACATGTAGGTCAGTCACACTTTCAACTTACGCAGTTTTCTGGTAAGTCTTATGATATTTTGAATGAGTATAATCGAACTCGGATAATCACATAATGTAACCGGTCCATCACTTATTAGCAGACATCCAGCGTCGTGGTATGACTCTAGTAAAGAACCTGCGTCGATGGTTGAGAATAATATATACACCTTCGGGTTCGATAATTCCAGTTGAACTCAGTTCATCTTTGAAACCCAACCAAGCTAACCAAAAAAGGAGATCCGCCTAAATGATGTCAATCTTAGCATAGTACACACTTCGCCTTACCAAGATATTATTCTGCGTAGGTGGATTAATAAAAAACTGGTGATGCGTAAACTTCGTCCCAATCAATCAAAAACATAACCTTGCGCGCTGTCTCTTGCAGGGACCTATGAGCATCTGTTTAGAGAATATTTTGAAGGAAGATCTTGGACCAGTGAGGAAAACCTTACTGAAAACACCTATCCTGAGAAGTTTATCTATCGTATTTAGACTGAAGAGAATAAGGCAACAAAAAATAAACGAGCGAAAAATAAGGTTCGTTTTATAAAACTTCCATTTAGTGGAGATGTCGCCGCTGACAAGGTCATTGGAGTAGCATCCGCTGCAACGAAATCCATCTTCAATGACGATCAGCCAAGAGGTGTATTCTTTACGTCAAGAAACATCCTGTGCTACAACAAAGATATGCTATGTCGATTGCATCCATGTTTGTATATCACTCCAAGTTCACCTTTGGTGGGACTGAATGAGATCGAACGACAAGGCAGCTCTGGCAACGTATCAAAGAACACAATCCACTCTGGCTCACACACGGTGGTGGTAGAGCTGTGTAAAGCTCAGTTGCTGCTCATTTGGTAGAGATGGAACACTCCGTTGACATGCACGCAGCTATCCAATCATGTATCGATTCTCAACACTCCACTTGAAAACAATATGGTCTGGAACATTAGCTAATCCAGAGGCGCCTAACCGCCGACTGTGGAAAAACCTGAACTGTGCGCACAACGAAAGCTGAGCCAAGCTCTCAAACTCACGCGTGAGCAACATAATGCGCTTCAATTACGTAATCCAAGTAGTGTACCAATTTGGAATTTTCGCTGACTCATTAAAACACGCATAACTCATCCACTTTTCTGTCTGACCCTACTGAAATTGTTTCATATAAAAGTGAGTGTTAAGGCTTGAAGAGATATTCACCGAAAACGTGTTTGCCTAAACTGTCGATTTCAAGTAACCTGTACACAGCGTTCCTTGGGATGGTTCAACCTTATTTAATAACACAAATGCAGAAAAGCTACTGCAAGCACGTATATATTAAATATAAATAAAATAATGTTGTGCCCTCAGGATGCATTGATATAATTTGAAAAAAAAGAACCCTGACAAAATCGATGAAGTAAAATAAGTGTGGTGATTTACTGAATAACAAACTCTTTTGCATTAAACTTATGCCCATTGGGCTCTAGGCTTTTATTTAAAAAAATTACCTAAAAGGAAGGTTTTCAATAAATCTGAATTATATATATATATATATATATTCAGGCACATGATTCTTGAATATTATTTTTCTACTATGTTCACCTTAGTGCGGATCCGTTTAGATCAAATAATATTTTATTCATTTATTCATATTTATTCCATGTCTTCCAGTCACTTTTACTATCTGTAGACCTTTATACACTAGATGGGGTTGATATAGGGCGCCAAATTGCAAACAGCATCGGTGTCTCAATTGAGCAACCTCAGGAGTGCTCCTATGGGTTCAGCTGTGCTTTCCAGGTCCTACATTTTATGCCACTGTTCCCAGTTCTATCAGTAAAGGGAGTCACAAAGTCAACAGAATATTGGTCTCTACAATTGGTTCTCTCGAGTACTAATGAGCTCTGCCTTTTCACTGAACGTATAAANGTATAAATTAAGAGCAATCATAATCTTAGCTTGTGACTGTTCTCGAAATCAACGGCTTTACATACACTAACAGCTTCTGAATATCTATAAACCAACTTCCAAGATGTATGTGCATGTTTGACTTATTAAACTTAAAGACAAAACGTTTTTTAAAATATAAATATCCTTGGTAAAGGAGACCTAGAAAAACTTGGATAATTCTTGAATCAACGTCGCCAATGCTGTTTGTGTTTCACACCTCAATATACAAAGCAAACGAAGAATTCCTATTTCTCTTTCAATGGCAAATCTTTCTCTTGACCTGACTCAAACTCCTGTCACCATTCAAATCTTGTTTTTTGACGTGGTTCTGATCATGAACAAAAAGAACTTACTGGTGGTGTTTGACTAATTGGAGGTTAACTTTATTCCTTGTAAATTTTCATCGCGAAATCTTTCGCTCAGCGTCAATATCTGTAGTCAGATACTTGAAGCCTTCGACTGGAAAACTATGGCTGAAAACGCTGTGTAGTGGCACCGTCTAGCTTTCATCTGTGCTCATGTTTCAGATCAACTAAACTAATAATCATCAATCGAAGTCAATCCGGATTTGGATTGTTCGGACGCTTATCATGGAATTATATGAGCTGTAAACAGGCCCAAAGCATGATTCAGTATAGTAATTTCATGTATTGCTCTCTCATCGGTTAGTATTCAGTCAAAACACGAACGATCCTGACAGAAGTACATGCACTTCTGCAAGGCAGCTGTCCTTCACGAATTGAAACAGACCGATTTACTAGAAAACAAATTGAGAACTTCACCTCATAAAACGTTCTATGGCTCTGGATGGGGATTTTCTTCGATAAGCGCATGCGCTGGTGATGAGCTGCTTTCGATGCCAGAATGTTTGCATGAGTTTCAAAAGGCGATAAAACCTGATGATTCAAACCCAAAATAACCTACATCTATGAACATCTGCTATGGTTAGTTGGCAGTAGGGTATGCCATAATGCGGAAACGGGCCCAGTTTATGCCACCTGACTGCTCGTGGACATTTTATAAGCTCTTGTTTTCGATGATTAGACAACTGAGAAATTGGAACGAAGTGTCCTCATCAGTGTTGAAACTGTTCTAATGATCATTGTTTCACGGAAGTAACCAGGGAGTCGGCGCATAGCATCGTCCGGCTCGAAGCTAGTGCAAGCACAAACATATAGGCACTATTGTTGGTAAAGTAGTGAAACATTATTTCTAGACTGCAATGAAAAGTAATACAGACTGGTATGAGTTGGATTGTGTTCAACGCAATACCTTTGACGGTATGCTCGTATCTTGGTTATAATCATACAAATTGAAAAAAGCGCCATATTACCTAACAAAATAATGACTTTTAAGCTGAAATATTTGCATAATAATACGTGTTAATTTTGCGTCTCTTTACTATCGTTTTGCAAATAATAACTTTAACACTGTCAAATGTTTCGACTTCTGTGACGTATGCAAAACTCATTAGAAATTAAGAATTATAATTCAGCATTTACGTTTTACGAAATGAAATAAAAATTTAGATTTTAAACTTGTTCAGAGTGAACAGCAGCAGAATTACGTGAAGCTTTTGTGCAGATATTTTTTGAAATCAAACGGATATTTTGCATGGCTGTAGACAAGGCAGAAGCCTGGGTGAATCACCTAATTGAATGAATAACTATCGTGGAACGGGGATAAAACTTCGGCAATGAGACGGAAGCACTATGATCGAAACATCGACCTCATTTCATAAGTAAATTGGAGGAAAACAGACCGTAGACTTTGAACAAACTTCGAGATTAAGCAAAGCACATTTGATGATTGATTCATTTTGATTTTTGATTTTTTTGATTTTTCGGACAAGGAACCTTGGTTCACGTTGCAGAACACGTGGATATAGATGCAAAATGACAACATAATCTGTTACGCGTTTTTATGGCAAAATAAACACACCGGATACGTCCTGAATACTTCTGTCACCTGCCCCTCGTCCGGGAACCGGTTTATTCTTCAGTGTTAATTTGTAAATTAAATTATTTGTTAATTTGCAAATGGTTTGATGATTTGATGCTGATGATTTCACCCGCCCTTCAGCGAGTGTTACGGTTCACATTGGTCACAGTGGTCGAATCTCCTTCGGTTCTTGACTGACTTGGTGTTGTCGTGCCCATTCGAATCAAGCGCAACTTTCGCAATAAACCGAAAACGATATTCTTACGAAAGTAGCGTCTCAAAGATTTGATACTGGCAACGAGAATGCACGGAACAATACAACTGGACATGATGATCGGTACCACCCCAGCTTGTTGAGAAAGCGACAGGTTTATGTATTTGTATAAACCCGCAGATTGTAGCACGTAAGTTGTTATATCAAACGCGTTGCAAATCAGTAGGGTACCAGCCACGGCCGCAGTGCTCAAAGCAATTTCTTTCATCCGTTTCCGCATTCTCCACAATTGCTCCTCACTGGTGCTCATCTGCGCTTTCTTATTTGCGTCACTTAATTTCCAGTGACGATATATGTAAACAATCACCGAGGTGTGGGCCACGACGATCACACTGACAGGAGAAACGATCCCCAATGCCAGCCACATGTATCGCTCAACCGTAATAAACTGTTCCAAAGTTATACTTGAAAATGAAGTTGCATACTGGCATATTCCGTTTACATAGATTCTTGCCATCGGGATAGGAATATATAGGAGTATATCAATCACGATCACATAAATGAGTAGAGCCCACATCAAATAGATTTGATACATTTTGTAAAACACTGGAAAAA